AACAAAAATATCCATTTGCAATTTGTTGCCTGGCGATTAATGAGTATTGGAGTGGAGTGGAGTGGAGTGGATCTGGCGGTGGAGCGGAGTAGCCGAGTAGCAAAGTAGCGAAAGAGCCAAGAGAAACTGCTTAATTTATGTTACTTATCAAAATGGCGCTAATTGAAAATTAGCCGGTTATCGTGCAATTATCTGGACTGGACTCTTCCTTGCTTCCCATATGCCCAGGAGTATGGGTGGCTCTGGCTGTTTCTGTTTGGCTTTGGGTTCTGCTGGCGGGGGAAATTCAATTTCCATAGCCAATAGATAAGCGCACCCCAAAACGAAGTCGGAGCCAGAGCCAGAGCCGGTGCCGGATGCGCTGGAGTTGGTCGGGGTGGTAGGGTGGTATATATATTTTGATTTGTGCGTGCCCATCCACCGTGATTTCCTCCCCTGATAAGCGCAGCCGAAATTAAGAGACAGCATCCCTCGCCTTTCTCCCGAGTTAATAGACCATGGCCTAGTACAATTTATGGCCAAATAAGTCGGCAAGTCGGTGAGTTCAGAGCGTGGCCTGTTCTGCTAATAGCGGGCGATGATTTGGCAATTGTTTGAATTTCAATGAACCGATTGTTGCAAGATATGTATATATGTAGGTGTAGACCTTTGGCAAACAACAACAAAAGTACTTAGTATGTTATATAAGCAATGTCAAAGCTCTGATGGCCCCTCCCTCGCAGCTCTGTCAACTGCCAAGTCTCTTTAGATCACCAATACCATAGGTATCCAGAAAACTAAATTCTTGTGTCTAGTTTACTCTCACACATCCTTCAGCCATTCCTTGAATCAATTTCTCTTTCTCTTTGACTCGAATTCACTTCTTTCTCCTCAGCCTCTTGCTTCGCCGTTTATGTGTGTGTGTGTGTGTCTGTGTATGGGTATGTGTGTTTATTTGCTTCTCTATTGGCCATTTCAATTCCTCTTTGAGGTCCGGGCCAGCAAATTGGACAACTTAAAGAGCTCATTAAATTAACTACACGCATCTGGACGACTTTCGGCCATTTTCACTTGTTCTACATATTTATTATTATCTTTTTGTGCCTCTCCCTCTTCCTCTCCTCTCCTCCCTCCCTCTCTCCGTGTGCGTTTGTGTGTGCTCCTTTTCTCAATTTCATTTTGTCAGTTTTTGTTGGTCCTCTCTCCTCTGCTGACATGACATGAACTGTAGTTTATTTATTATTTCTCTCTCCGCTCATTTTCCCATTCTCCTTGTACACTTGTACACTTTTCGGGCTTCTTTCCATTTTATTTATATCCTTGACGCATGCAAGCATGTGTGTATGGTGTGCATGTATGGGAATCAGGTCATATATGCACACACACACACACACACACACCCACACACACGCATACACATTTGAATGTCCGTAGTTTATTGTCAATTGTTTGTGGCATTTATTTCGCAATTGTTTTCCTCCATTTTGTCACTTTGTTTGCCTCTGCCTTTTGTTCATTTATTTATTTATTTGATTAGTTTTTATTGCATGACAATTTTCCGTGCATGCGAATATGATAAAAGAAGTTTCACTCTTTGTCCTCGGGGCAGACATGCAGATACTCCTGCCCCTGCCACTGCTAATGCCACCTATTGTGGCAGTACTCTGGGCAGCCTGGACGTAGGCTGAGAATTGGCAGTTAGTGAAAAACCACTAAGGAAAAGGACAGACTTCATTATACCTACAACTATCGGGCCATCTTCCTATCTAAACTTTAAAGATTGTCCTTGTTAATGGCATTTATCAAACCATAATTCGTTCATCAGTTGACTATCATTTAACCAATTCAAAGTCAATTTTCGCTCTCTCCCTCTATCTGTCATATGCCCTGCACAAACACAATAAAAGTCCTTCCACAGGATAACCCATCCATTAACCCTCATCGACTGCAATGGGATTGGAGACCAACCCCCCCCCCAACCCCGTTTTGCCCTTCACTCGCCTCACTTTGAATGCGGATAACCATATGTGGCCTCCCTGCGTTGCAGCGCGTTGCATCGGACTCAGGCTGGGGCTCAGGCTCAGGCTCTGGATGCTCGGGCAGAATGTCAGGACATCCATCCATCCGATGTTATTTGGTCGCCCCACAGTCGATTGAATTGCCATGCGGCACGTGCAACATGAATGGACTCGCTGCAATCGTCCTATGCATATAAAAGGAGGCTGAAAGCTGTTGATGATTGGGCGTGGGTGTGGGCGTGGGCGTGGGCGTGGAGCTCGGCGTGGACGTGGGCATGGGTCTGCGAGGTAGAGCGCGGCCCTAACGCGTGGCTTCAACTCAATTATCAAACTTTTGGCCGCCGATCCGGGAGCCAACCTGGACTCGGAACACCCTACCAGAACCACTATACCACTTTGCCACACTGCACTCCACTGCACTGCCACACACACACACACACACACACACACACGAGCTCGTGTACGGATTGCCAGACAGACGAACGAACACGTGTTGGAAACAAACGGAAATGGATTTTTGATTGAGTGCACAATAAAATGTGCAATGCATTTTACAGGCCAAAACAAGAGAGAAACGAGTATGAAACATGCAAAAGAACAACTCCCTCCCCCAAAGTGGAGTTAGTCGTATTTATTTTATTCTACTCATATCAAAAAAATAACAAAAATCAAAAAAAAAAAAACAACAAAATCTACAAAAGAACCTTTTTAATTTTGGCGAAAAGTTGCAATTTATTTGGTTCGCCCTTCCATCATCATGAAAGTCAATTTATTTCATTATAAAGTGCATAGGACTGGGGGCCGGGCCAGTCTGTCTTCTTTCCGCATCCTCTGGTATCCTCCTTTTTCTTTCCATTTTATGGCGCATATTTGGCCAATTTATTGGCCTCATGCTCATGGCTAACAAATTGCAAACACACAATGTGGATGGAAAATTATTGCGTCGTTCGTTCGATTGGATGCAATGAAAAAGTTTTCCATCTTCCCCCTTGGCAGGGGTTTTTCTGCATTTATAATTGGAAATCTATAAAGGGCGGATCGTAAAATAGCCCCCGAGTCAAGGGTCAGACATAAAAAAAAAAGTACGGAAACAGTTAACGGAAGTGAATGATGCCCTATCATAAAACGAGAGTATGGAGATCAAGCTAATTGATTGACTGATGGATGACGACTCTCAGTAGCGATGAGGAGTATGGGAAGTATGGGAATGATATGGATGATGGAGAAGGTAAGTCCTCACAAGGATCAACCCAGTCTAATAGCAAAATCGATCAACCCGAACCGAATGCAGACAACAGCCAAGAGCCAAAACTATCCCTAAATGTAAATATGCTGCCAAAAATCTTATATAAAACGAAGACAGAGACGGAGACAGAGACGGAGACAGAGACAGATGCCTCTGGCAGTCGCTCAGTCATGGGGAATCACAAAAACGATGCCAATTTTCGACTATTTCCCTATGGCCAAATTTGTGTATCCAACTTCTGTGGGCCAGCGCCGGCAGATCGATGTCTGGAACGGGCTGGGTCTGGAGTCCTCGTGGTCTAGACATTGTCTAATGACAAACGCAAACCACAAAAGATGACGACGACAGCGACATTGAGGATTGAGGACTGTGGACTAAGGACTGAGGACTGAGGATTGAGGGAAAGGAAAGGAAAGGAAAATGTTATGCAAGTCGCTCCAAGTCGGAGCCAAGTCAAATGGAAATGCTTTCGGATGAGTCCTTGTCTGGCTGCGGACAAAATGCACGAGTAAGATAAATAAACTGAACTTTAAATGGCTGCCAATCGACCGTCGACCCATCGATGACTTGTCTATGGCCTGGCCTGACCTGGCTAGTTCCCATTGACCAGATAAAAGGGGAGGTGAAAGGGAGACGAGACTTCAAGATGAGCAGCGGGGCATTGAAGCGAAAGAATCTCTCGATTCGATTCGATTCAAAATTCATAAAATGCATGCAAAAATAAATCGAACCCAAAAAGTGGCGCATCATCATTATTTATTCGACTTTACCCCACCGCACCACCACCACCACCGAACCAGCACTTCCACTCTCCTGTGCCTTTGGCCCCAACAAAAGGCACAATCAATGACGACATCGGTGTTTAAATTTGTCGAAGCAACAGGGAATTTGCATAGTTAGAAGAGAAATAGAGAAAAGAAGCAACAGACTATTGAGAAATTAATATGCAAATTGTTCGCAGAGAGAACGAACTCCTCTTAAGCATTGTTCCCATTCAAGTGAAATTTCTTGGGCCAAAAAGTTCTTCTTGGCGGCTATAAAATAGAAATCTCATGCCAATAGCGATTTCAGTATTATTCCAAAACACGACCATGAAGCGCTCTTGGAGTCTCTATTGCGGAGGTACGTTCTCTGACAAGGTGTTGTATGTGATGACAGTGTATGGGGGATTGCGATGGTTTGAACAGAAGACTGTGGAAAATTATGAAAAGGAGTCCTTAGCTAGAATTTGCTAGAAGTTTCGTGGGGAACAAGGTCGTCTTTTCTTTCGTCTTTCGTTTTACCCAAACGGCAGCTCCTGAGTTCCGCTGAAAGAGGTTCCCGAAATGTCCAAAAATTCCAAGAATACCAAGAAACCGTATCCGTATCCCCTGCTGGGTCTGGGTTTTGGCGAGGACTAGAACAACGCCACAAAACCCAAAGGGATCTGATCTGCCCAAAACGGCGCTAAGTTGACAGCCATAATTGAGGCTTAAGTCTGGCTCTGGCTCTGGCTCTGGTTCTGGTTACGGTTTTGGAACAGCAACCGGCAGCTCCAGCCTGGGCTGGTGTCATAAAGCCATAAATAATCCGCGGAAATACCCAGACCCCGAATGAAAATTATGGAAAACTGCAAGTTTATGGCAGGCACACGCACGACCAGACACTCGCTAATGATCCAAACTACCTGAAGGACCTTTAAAAGGAGCTCAGCCTAGAGTCCTGAGCATCAAACGGAGCTGGATCGTCGGAGAAGCAGCATGATTGACGAACACAAAATGAAGAAACACACGGAGAATAAGCAGCGTTCGAGCAGCAAACCGCGCAAGTCCCACGATCCTTTGAGGAAAAAGAAAAAGGCTCTAAAGAAGCTGCGCAAGATGGCACCCAAAATAAATTTATCCTACCAGCTGTTCCTCTACCGCCAGGAACTAAGGCGGGCCAGTGCGGACTTCTCCTACTTGCGTCTGTCCAGAGCCAAGATAATGCTGACCAAGGAGCTGATAGCCAAGAAAATCGGCAGCTGCGATCAGATGAGCAGCGTGGACGATCTGAAAATGCTCAGCCGGGAGGTGCAGTTCAAGAAGCGTCTCACCAGTCAGGTGGAGCGCCTGGAGGAGTTCAAGAACCTGGGCCTCACCGAGATGATACTCGATGGCAAGAGGACAACCCTATAGCTGTGGCAGGAGCAATGGAAACGGCAAAAGCGTTAGGCTAGAGGCTAGGACTGGGCATTTACTTTAAGCTAGTTGTAATCTGTTGGGCTGTAATATTTTATCAAATAAAATATCGCAACGAACAATTTAATCCAGCTCTTTGCCACAACCTTTCAGCCATACTGCTCTGCTCTACCAGTCTCTGCTCAGCCCAGAATGTCACCTATTCGAACGACACTCAGGAGGCCCTCAAACTGGAGGCGTTACTCCAGTCGTCATCCACCACTTCAAGCACTTCGAGCACTCCGAAGCCCCGTGGCTGCTCGACTTCTCCTCTGACCAAGGCCAAGGCCAAGCAGGCCCATGAAATCGAGGAGGATGATAACAACTTCTCGAACGATCGGCTGCCTGCGTTGACCGACGATGAGTACAGCAGCCTGGGGGAGGATGCCAATCCCTTGCACTTCCTTAAGCAGCAGCCTCCTCCACAACAGCAGCCCGCTAAGCAGCAGGTATGAAATGGTTTAATCCTGGGTAATCCCGGGGACCCACTGACGATTGGTGATATTTACCTCTCTCGCCACTCCTGTGATCCTTGTTTTATTGAAGTGTATCCTTCATTCCCTTTACAGCAGCCCAAGCCTGAACCTATGGCAATGCCCCAGACCGGTGGATCTTCCATCTACATAACCATCCCCATATACATCAATTCGGCCGGCAAGCTGCCCCTCACTCTGACCATTGGCGACCAGCAGATGTCCCTCAATCAGCTGCGAAAGTCAGCCTCTGGGTCGGCAGCAGCGAACAAGAAGAACCCCCATACGAAGGCGCCCAATTCCCACTTCAATCGTTTGCTGGAACAGATCGAGACGACTCCCAAGAGGCGGACCACCAACCGCCATCGCAGTCAGCTGAAGAGCAATATCTATGCGGCAAAGGAGCGCCCGGATCGGCACGCTTCCGTCTACTACCCGAGCCTCTGAAATCCGATCATCGGTGCTTACGTATACATTATAACATAACTTTAATGGCTAACAATAAATAAATGACAAACAAAGTAGCTGAGAAACTTGTGTGGAACTAGAGTTGAAGACGGAGCTCTGGCTAGACAGCATTGCTGAGAGGAGTCGCGGCATCAGTCACTTGCTGCTCCACCGGCTCCACGGGCTTGACAGGCTTGACAGGCTCTGGCTCGGGAGCTGCAGTCTCGGCATCCTTTTCGGGATTCTGCTGCGGGGACTCCGTCTCGGGCTGCTTGTTCTCATCCGTGTTGGGTACGACTGTGGCCGGAGTCTCATCATCGTCATCGTAGTCATCGCCGATGACCTGCTCGATGGTCTGCTGGATGAAGTGCTCGAACTGCTGGAAGTACTGCAGAGCGTTGTTGGCCACCTGTGCGGTGGGCAGATCTGTGGTGACCTTCTTCAGGGCATCGCGGATGAGCACGAGCACTGGCTTGCGGGAGGGAGCCACTGGCACTGCGGCTGTCACAGTGTCGGGGTCTTTCTCCAGCTCTGAGGGGGTCTCTGTGGCGGCTTCAGAGGGCGTCTCCTCAGTGGTGGCCACATCGCGACGTCTTCTGATCAGGGAGTCGTCGTCATCGTCATCATCATCATCATTCTCTTCGTCGTCATCTTCCTTGGACTCCTCCTCCACCTTGTGCACATCCTCATCGTCGTCGTGCTCCTCACTGCTGTCCGCACTGGAGTTTTGAACCAGTTCCTCCTCCTCCTCCACCTCCACCTGCCGCGAGGCAGGGTACTCGAGGCTCGTGTCGATGTCCGACTCAGCCACTGGGGCAGCACTCGCCACACAGGCCAGGGCCACTAAGGCAGCTGCACCAGAGAGAAGAAGAGAATTAGCTGGGGCATTCCATATATCCACACTCCATTGCAGGAGGGAGGTAGGTAGGTTCAATGGCTTACCGAGGGACAGGTAGATGGCTCGAACCATAATGCTAATCCTTTTGTTTCTTTTCCGTGGGCGAACAGTTGACTTTTGCAGTTTTGCGGTCTTTCTGAGCAAATCCAGCGCTTTGCTTTCGCTTTTTATAGCCCCACCAAAATGAAAGTAAATCAACAAGGCGCGCTCCACCTTCGATCCCAAACCAAGCCATCCCATACGATCCGATCCGCTCCGCTCCGCTCTCAGCGAGCTCCGAGTCTGGCTCTGGGTCTGGCGACTAAACAGAGCGTTGTCCAGTCGCTTTTACTGCAACCGAAGCTCTCTTTCTCTGGTTTCTGTTCGTTTCTTGTTTCTTTATTTTGTTTTCTTTCCGTTGGACTTCTTTTGTTTACCCTTCACACACGCATACACCCACCCACACACACACACACACTGACGCACCAAAGAAACCAAAATCATTTATTTAAATTTTGTGTGCGTTTCTTTCTGGTTACTTCTTTCATAAATTTCGGGCATCTGTCCCGCCGACAGCCTCTGCTCAGCCCTATTTGCCCTAGAAATTAACGAAGCCCGCTCTTTGTGGCTGATATGCAAAACTGCTTACAAGATCACTTAGTAGGCCCCCTTGGGTGTTCGGTGTTCGGTCATCGGGCCCTTAATTATGTAATTAGACATGCTTGTAGTCCGGCCCGGCATCGATCAGATCGCCCCCAACTGGCTGTCTGGGCTGGCTGGCCGGCTGGCCGGCAATGCATCCATCAAACACAGATCCCAACTTTCTAATGCTAATGGGAAATTTTGAAAACATTTCCATTAAAAATCAAATATAAATAAATCAACAAGAAAGCAAATGAAATGAGAGGGTGGACGAAGAAAGCCGCCGATCAGCGAGATCACGAGTTGGATGAGTGAGGGAATGATAGGTGCAATTATGGATGGTCATGGCAGATCAGAGACCTCTCGGAGAATGCTCTGAGGAGTCTCCGAATGATGTCTAAGTCTATCCTCTAGCTGGAAATCAAGTTTAGGCTTCACTCTAATTAAAACTACAATTACCTGCGATGGAAGAGCTCTCTCACATAGGAGTAGATCAGAGATCAACACACTGGCAACAATAAACAATAGCAGAGCTTGATTGGATCTGAGGGGATTTCCTGCAAGCAAATGCAGCTGCCACTGCCACTGCCACTGCCACTGCCGGCAATCTCTAAACTCAAACCCAAAGAACTCTCCCCACAAACAGAAGGTAAAATAAATAAAACAAGATCACCGAACCTTTCCAGATTGACCCAATTTTGAAGAACCGGCTCAAGAGGCAGACAAGCTGATCTTCTGAGCTGGAGGCTGGACGGCTGGCCGACTGGGCGGCTGGACGGCTGGACGGCTGGGCGTTCGAATGGAGGGCAAGTAAGGTGTTAAACACACAACCAGTTCCAGGTCCAAGCGAGAGCATTCTAGATGATTATCAGGCCAGTCCAGGCCAGTGTGTTTGTGTGCGTGCAAAAGGGTAAGCTGATAAATGACAACCAAAAGAGCTTGCATAAAATTTCACCAACAACGAAAAAAATCACTAAATCTTTTCGTACTTTCGTTCGTGTCTCGGGGGGGATATCTCGGAACTGCGCGAAGTGTAAACACAAGCCCGCAGATGAAAAGATTTACGAAGAAAAACCGGTAGATGGCCAGAAGAATTCCCCCCAAGTGCGGAACGCCTGTACTTAAGCCGCCATTCGCCAGAAGATGCGATCAGTTGTTATAGCGACGAGCAGCTGAGCAGATCAGATCGTAAGTGCAAAATAAGATGAGACCAATTCAGGCTGTTTTCGTTCTAGGTAAGTCCCCCAGGCTTCTGGCTCTGTCAAGCAGGACTCAGCATCCAACCCACTCACTGTCCCTCATCTTTTTTCAGTGGCCGCCCTGCTGCTCCTGGAGGTGTCTTCCATCGAGGCGAAGCGCCGCAAGCACAAGGGCTCTGACCACCACCACCACCATGACAAGTCCGACTCCCAGAAGACCAAGACCAAGACGAAGTGGTCTAGCTCCACGGACCTGGCCAGCAACACTCAGGTATCCACCGAGGAGCACGGCTACTACGTGAAGCGCACCTACGCTCCTCAGGCCGATGTCCAGGGCAGCATCCGGATGAGTCCCCCCTTCCTGGCCATTCCCATTGCCTGGTTCAGCTGCGACCAGGGCCAGAAAGATTGCCAGGCCACCAACTCGGCGGCGATCAACAGCGCTGCGCAGTCCCTTCAGGAGGGGTACCTCTGCGACGACGACTGTGTGGATCTGTACGAGCCAGTGTGCGGCAGGACTGCCAATGAGGTGGCCGTCTTCTACAATCAGTGCAAGCTCAACGTGGCCAAGTGCCGCTCCCATGGCCTTTGGTCCGAACTGGCCTATGCCGATTGCCAGCAAACCTATCCCAAGGAAACGGCCTGTGCCGACAAGAAGTTCAGGAGTTCGCCCTATTTCCGTGACAGTGCCACCGTGGAGAAAATGAACCAGGAGAAGGAGAAGGAGGAAAAGAAAAAGCAGGAGAAGGAGAAGGACAGCAGTGACAGCAGCGAAGAGAAGGAAGACAATATTTCGCCCATTGCTCTTCCCCTGCCCCAGAAACCAGTTGAAGACGAGGCATCACCTTCGGTTGCAGCTTCACTTCCTGAACCTGTCCCGGTGGCCGTATCAACCCCCGTGAAGACCTCCGAAGAGATTGCCGTGCCACCCATGCCCATGAAGGACACTCAATCCCCAAAACCCTTGGTGATCGCCATGGCTGAGGCCGCTCCAGTGACAGAACAGAGCCAGCCCAAGGCCGACAACGATAGACTCAAGTATACCGTAGCTTAAAAGAAAAATCTCACTTAAAAGTTAATATTTATTTTAATTTAAACAAATAAAATAATTTGAGAAAAATACTTAAAGAGACTTCGATTTTAAACATGAAATACAAATCAGAAAGGAAGGCTAGCCATTTAGTACTTAGATCGATCATTTCTGTGGAAGTTATACTTTTACTAAAATATACATATTATATATGTACTATATAGAATAGAATGCAAAGTTTTCGCCAGATAGCTTTCGAATAAACTGAGAGACAAACTTACAGACTTCGCAGATACTTTCTTCTGCTGAAAATATTTGTAAACCCTCTAAAAGAGTATACAATTCGATGTCTCACAAATTGTTTGCACAATGGGCTTGCAAAATTATAACAAAATTCCATATTTAAGGATAGAGATCTTCGAATAGCTTCCAGCAACGATTTGATGAACCAACTCTAGCGCCAAGCCGTACGTTGGGCGAGGTATTTCCATTCAGAGGGCCAGGGAACAAGCATTTATTCGATATATGGCCAGATGCAGCTTCGTCAAAGGCAGAGTGCATTTCTAGATAGGTGCATTGACCCTGGAAACAAGTTCTATAAACTGATTGATCGTCAAAGATATCAGTAGCTGAATAGGGCCATCATTAGAAGCCAAGCACTAAACCTAATTGGGAGGGCGTGGGATGGACAATGGTTGCCTCAAGTCGCCGCCAGACGACGCCTATAAAAACTGTGAGGAACTCTCCAGCAGAGCACAGAAGTCATTCGACTGCAATGGGAGGCAGAAGATTCCGAATGTGGAGCACAAAACTGCAGCTACTGATCCTGCTAAGCGGAGGTGAGTCGCGAAGGTCGGACGAAGAACGAAGAGATCCATTAAGATACACCCTTCCACAGCCCTGCTCAGTGCCCGAGCTTCACCAACTGGAGACCAAGCGGAAGAAGTCACTGTAACCCATCCACCACCTGAGCAACTCGAATCGGAATCGCGCTCGCAGAAAGAGGATGTCTTGGATGTGGACGAGGACCTAGATGGCAGGAGTGCCTATGTCAACAATCAGTTTGTGCCCAGTGAGCCCGTGGAGCTGTTGGAGGATGAGCAGAATGCGCCGCTCTATGAGATACTTCAGAAGCAAATGGAGCAAGTCCTGGCCTCCACAGGTCCCAACGACCCCGTCTACGAGCATAGGGAGAAGCAGGATAGACGAGATCAGCAGCCTCCTAATCGACCACCCCCTCTCTTCACCAGCAGCCATCCGAACGATGCGGAAGTGGATGATGACTATGAAGATGGGGAGGATCGGACGGATTTGGGCTACAGCGATCAAGAGAAGCCAGATGCGGCTTCCGTGCTCGAGGATGATGAGCAGACCGAGACAGGCTATCAATTGCCACAGCCACAGAAGCCATCAACCACCACTCCCAGCACCACCCGTAGACCCCACAAACGCCGCAGTACTACAGCGCATCCGCGCACCACTCGAGCAAGGACCTCAGCTCAACCCAGAGCCACCCCAAAGCCAGCGAACCTAACCACCATTTCCACCACCAGCTCCATTGAGGTGACACCACCTCCGACAACCCCGATCCCAAGGCCCAAGGCCAGTCCCAGTCCCAGTCCCAATCCCCGGCCACTGCCGAATCCATCCAACAGTCTGCCCAGCGATCCTCAGGTCTATCAGCACAAGCGCCGCATCATTTTCAAAACCATCTCGACGGGCTCACAGTTCATCAACTCCCCGATTGGTGATCTTATGATTAAGTTCTCCATCGGCTTCGCCAGACCAGCTCATGGTGAGGCACCAGTGCCGTCCAGCGAGGCGCTGCGTGCCCTTTCGAACAATTTACTGCGAAACATAGAACTCCAGAAACTGAAGAGAGCCAATAAAGTCCAGAGAGATTGATAAAATTTAGTTTGCAGCAACATTTATCAGAGTTTTTACTGTTAGTTAAGTATAGACGGATAGCCGCAGGGGGATGCCACAAGATCAAGCAAGCGGGAACGTTGTCCGCCACGGCAAGGGCCGTGGGCTACTTCTATACCCAGTACTCAGTCAACATAGATGTGAACCTGACAATTATTTAACCGAATTGGTATCGGAGGCGATGAATGTTGCATGCTCTCTGTCTATCTCTCTCTCTCTCGTGCTGATCTCTCCCCATATCTCTGAATTTTTCTGGCACTTGTCATGGGAGAAAGAAAGGATCCACGTCTTCTAGTTATGATGCAATGTTAATTCTTGCCCTTCGTTTATCGCCTTTTTGATCGAATGACTTTTGTATGCGAATTTTGAATTGTTTTATCTGTTTCCGCTATATCTGTCTCTCTCTCACGTTTATCACAACACCAACCCAACAGGTTGCTCACACTGCACGATTAAAAGAGAGAGAGAGAGAGAGAGAGAGAATGAGTTAGCGCGTAGATGTGGTATCGGAGCCACCGGGTATAAAACTTATCAAGTGAACAGGAACATCATTGGCGTCGCTTCGTATGGGTCGGTGCTCCCGCTGCGGCTATCCTTATCGTTGTTCTTTCGAGTCCATCGTTTCGATCGGTACAAGTCTTTTTAGAGTTAATCGCTAAGCGGTTAGGAAGCTTTACAAAAATAGATATATGTGTGTGGAGTATATGATCCTAATGAATAACATGCAACAGATGCCTCCTCCTTCAGCGCACAGGCCAAAACTTGAGAGCGAGGACTGGTATGGTGACGCCCGTGATGATGCTGGAAATGAGATTGACACTGTGGTTGTCCAGAATGCGGAGACCACACACATGACGCACACCCTTGCCTGGGGCATCCACAATCTGGCCTTGCTCATTGATGCCCGAGAACTGCAGCATGCCTCCCAGAAGCGAGTCCAGTAGCGATCCAAAAATTCCGGCAATGCCGCCAAAAAGGATTATAGGCCATTGAGGTGGACTTACGAGCAGCATTTTGGCCTCCACCGTGTACCGGACGGTTACAAAATAGCCGAAGCCCACGAGGAAGCCTCCCAGCAGACTAACCACGACTCCGATCAGAGAGATTCCTCCATTGGTGCCGCGTGGCACGCGTCGCCAGCTGATGATGGAGATGGGATCGCGCTGGGAGAGCACGCTGCCTAGCTCACTGGACCATGTGTCCCCATTGCAGCAGGCAAAGGCGCTCATCACGGCAATACCCAGCCAGCTGGAGCGGTACTCTTTGGAAAAATCTATGGCACGCTCGCCGCTGCCGCAGTCGATGAGGTAAAGCAGGGCCAGTTGGGCGGCCATTCCACCGTTGCACAGGACCTGGACCCAGTTTCTCTGTCCCTCGCCCTCCTTGAAGTCGTGCTCGAACCGTCGTTTCATGTGTGCACGGAACTTGGTGGACCGCGACGAGCTGAAGAAAAAGACCACCAGGCTGGCAAAGAACGGATGGCTGGCTACCGACAGTATAAAAGCCACCAAAATGCCTAGAGCGGCTCCAGACCGGCTAACCGAGCGTCGACGCAGCGCCACCGTCATCAGTGTGAGGGGAGCCAGCGTGGAAAACAGCCACCGCATAGGCGGTATCACCCGGGGCTCTGCCAATCAATCAATTAGATAACCTTTTGCATCCTTAAGTGTTTATTCAGTTACACACCTTCGTAGGCATTGTTCCAGATCTTCGAGAAGGCCACGTTGCCCAGCCACATGAACAAGGAAATGGGTATGGCCAGGCCACAGAACAAGACCGGCATCCAGTTGCGCATCGCTTTCAAAGGTTTACATGCAGCTTATATCAATTAATTCGGCACTTTCTCCAGTTTATTTTAATTTGTTTGGTTTTTTTGGTATTCCGATTAGCGACGGACTTGAGAACTTTTTGCTAAGGCCCTGTTATCGGTTTGCGACATTCTCTATGAAATCTGTAAGCTGCACGTTTATGTTAACAGCGTGCTGTTGGGCGCACCGTTTGACTTCAAATAACAAATTTTTATAAATGGAATTGATACTTAATAATAAAAATAATACAAAATAAAATAATAAAAAATAAAATAAAAAATATTCATGACAAGTAGAACCCTTCTAATCGTTGGACACGCTTATCAAGCTCCTTCACCAGACTCGTTACCGCATCCAGCTGGGCAGAGCAGGCGCAGGAGCAGCCCGACGCCGAATCAAACGAAACATCCAATACCTGCGGAAGGTTCGGCTGGTTATGACTTTAATTTAATTACGGATGGAATGTCAGTGTAAGGCTAGTGAACTAAAAAAAGCGTGGACTGGTGCTGCGAGGCTTGAAGTCCAACTCCTTGGACACCAGTTTGGCCTGCGACAGCAGCGCTTCCGGCTGACCAACCGAAGAAGATTTGCTGGCACTTTTTGGTGTCTGTGGTAGCTTTGTGTGTTCACTGTCAAGCACCTGGAAGTTTTCGTCCAAAATCTTATAGGCGAGCGACTCGCGCATATCGATGCGAATGCTGTGGTCGTTCGACAAGGCTGTGCTGCTGGCGTTGCTCTGCTGGTAAACGGAGGCTACACTGGTGTCGCAGCTGGAGGAGAGCAGGGCAGACTTTGCCTCGAACTGGGAGGCATCGTAGGTGTGCAGATTAGACTGCCAAACTAACAGCTGCAATCGATAATGAGGGATTACACATAAAGCCATTGGATGAGCCGCCCCAACTCACCTGGCGATCGTTGCCACCAGTGGCAAACTTCTCTCCATCCTGGGAAAAGCCCACAGCATTTACAGCCGCCGTATGGCCAGTCAGTGTATAGATGGGTCTGCCCTCCAGCAGATCCAGAACGCGTATGGTGCAGTCATCGCTTCCGGACAACAGAAAATTTCCGCTGGGATGGAAAGCCACATCATTGACGGGCGCCGAGTGAACCACATACAGCTGCAGTAGCTGGCTGCCGCCCACATCGAAGATTTTGATGCGGTTGCATCCCAGGGCCACGGCCACCATGTTGCCCCACGGATGCCAGGCCACCTGCCGTGGGGCGCCCCGCTCTTCGGTGAAGGTGCGCGTGCACTCTCCAGTGTTGACGTCGTAGATGCGCAGCGATTTGTCGTCGCTCACGGTGGCAATCATCTTGCCGTTGGGGCTGAATTTGGCGGCACGCACCCAGTTGGTCTGCTGGCTGAACGACGAGATAAACTGGCGTTTGGCCACGCGCCATATCTTCACGGACTTGTCGTCGGAGGCTGTCAGCATCATCTGGCCGGTCGGGTCAAAGTCGATACTACGCACTGGCTTGCTGTGGGCCACAAACTCACCGGATACGCCGCGCACCTTGGGCTCCCAGATCTTCACTGAGCGGTCGTGGCCGGCGGAGGCCACCAGATTGCCCTTTGGCGACCACGCCACTCCATACACAGCCGATGAATGCGATCCGAAGCGAATGCAGCGTGCCGCCTGTTTCAGGTTCCATAATATCACAGAGCCGTCCAACGATGACGTCGCGATCTGAGACCCTTCGGGGCTGAAGCGGAGCTGGGTGATGCTGCCCGAGTGGCCAGTGAAGTGGCGGTCGAGGGCCGGATCTCTGAACAGTCCCTGCATGTTTGCGTTTAATAGGTTTCTCTTTTGGATTCGTTTATTTGCTTTTTTAACAAATTGTTTTGAAATTTTTGCCGCTTTGTTTGAAAGAAAATGCCGTAAGAATTGATCGAGTTATCGATAAAATATATTTTGTAACTTAGGTAACAATATTTACAATTGACGGGCGGTGGGGCTTCTGCAGAGCGTTCTCTCGGATTTTGGACTGGATTGTTTTGATCCAAAAAGATACTGCTTGCAAGTTTTCTTGGTTAGTTTTGATGTGTTGGTTTTTTTATGTTAACATTTGCTCAATTTTGTACATGGCAACTACACGATAGCAATACATTTGCTACATAGTGCGAGGAAAAAGAAGGTATGACCAACAGGCCAAAAGGCCCAGAAAGTGGTGCGCATGCATGGTAAAAACCACTCCTTTTGCTTAATATACCTTGCAACCACAATCACACGCGCGGTGAGGTTCGTAGAAACCCTGCAATTTGCCTATGTTTGTATGCCTGTTGTCCACACCCTCTTTTTAGTCACATTATAAGCGAAAATGCGCCGTCAGAGTTGATATTGATAAGTCCATAAAACGTTCCCTTTACAGTACATTTTGTATTGATTTATTTTGAGCTGTTATTGATATGTTAATGTTAACTAAAATGGAATGTTAATGTGCGCGCCTGAATTTAAAATACCAAAGTATTTTAGCTTATGAGTTGCCGTTTGGAACGCCATCGACTTGCAAACATCAAAACTTTTTCAAAAAATACAGACCACGGGGCAGAAGGGACACGGGACAACGGATGACATTAACGTAAATGATGAATTAAAAGAATTAATAGATTAATTAAAAATAGATAGTAGCATATGAATAAGCGGAAATAATTACTTCTGGCCACGTACATCTTATTTGACATCTACTGTAGGTACGCATAATTTCATTTGATCTTCGCTCCTAAGGTATGAAACTTTGTTAGTGTCGCAACGCCTCAGCAACACTGGAACTACTATTCGATCGCTGGTCTGGCAGCCCATTCGACCTTTACATGATGATCTGGCAGCACTACTGATCGGACGACGGCGAGCGCAAAACACTTGTTGTTATTAATTAAATATCAAGCGTACGTTGGCCAACCCGCCAAATATTACTAGCATTTGTATACGAGGAGTATATGTAGAAACAAAGAAGCGTAACCTCCGTGTATTAATTTGATAAATAATTTCATCTCAATCGTTCGTATTCATTCATCGTTCGTTTTTGCAGGACCGCGGCTCTACTTTTATACCCGTTACTCCATTAGTATATATAGTAAGTAATCTTATGTATGTATGTATATATTATAACCGTATATGTTTCGCTCACCTCCGGCCGGGGCGCACACTGTACGAGGAAGGGTGTGGCCAACCTAACCTAACC